ACAAAAAGGGTAGAACTTGTTAAAATCTTATAAACACCTAAAGCGTAGAGTGCACTATCAGCGAGTTCATGTCTTGATGTTATGCGTTCTAGTCGGCTTGAAGGAGCAGCGATACAGTAATAGAGCGGCCTTAATAATTACCTATACTATGTTGGGGGTTCGTTATTATCGTTATAGTCTACCCTAAGCGTCCATGTACTCATATAGTATATACATTGGCCTTTTTAGTCCCTATATAGGCACTTTGGGGCTCATGTATCTCTATATGGGTACATGGACCCTTAGGGATAAGATACCCGGAAGCCCTATTCTAATTATTAAGGCCCCTATGGTACTCTTGTTTTGCTATCAGCGCGACCTCACCGCCTATCAATCGCATTTGTCTGAAATACTCGTAGCTCCAATCCAAAGTATGTTTACGGCGCTAGGGCACATAGTACATAGGAGCTTATAGAAATACCAACATCAGTCTTTAGGGCTCCTTACTATGAGAAGTGCACTATATACCTATAGTCTCCATTGAAGTTCCTTTTTTGGTTAACCAAAATCTCTATTTTAGGATCCTAGCAATAAAGCTGGTTAACCAAAAACGGAACCGCAACGGAGACTATAGGTAAGGCCTTTACATTGAGCTTCTGAAGCCCGCCTCCCATTGCCAACCCTAAACTGCCTCAAGGAGCTTAGGGTTTAGGTAATATAGTGTATACATTGGCTTTAATGTAGACCCCATATAGCACTTTGGGGCTCATGAATCTCTATCAGGGTACATGGACCCTTAGCGTTATCTACGTTCTAAAGGTATGTGTTGGTCACTAGGCAAAAAGTTGACGCCATCACCTTTGGCAGCTGACGACAAAGGAACAAGGCCATGGCGACGGCTGGACGATGCGACGACCACGGGTGGACGACGACAGGACGGCGACACGACGACGACCACAACGACGCGACGACGGCAGGACAATGACGCGACGACGACCCGACAACGACACGACAACGACGCGGCGACCGAGCGGCGACGACGTGGTCGCACGTCTGTCGCGCATCCGCTGCGCGAGCATCGTCTGTCCGTCGCTCGCTCGGCGTCAAGCCATAAGGCCGAGCGAAATAAGCCTTATGACGGATGGACGGTGGGTACCGCAGACGGACGACGGATACGCGACGGTCGCCCGTCCGCCTTGCGTCCGCCGTATACCTCCGTCACATGTCCGTCGTCTGTCCGCCGCGCAACCGCCGCACTACCGTCATAAGGCAGAAAAAACATCGAAAACGTCCTCGCATCGTCGGCGTGTCGTCACAATGTGGTCAAGTCGTTGTCTTCGTCGCCGTCGCCGTCGTGTCCATTTCGCGCTGTCGCCGCACTGTCCTCGCACCGTTGCAGCATCCTTGTCGCATCGTCGTCGCGTCGTCGCTGTGTCGTCGTCACACCGGTGCCGGACCGTTGTCTCATCGTCCCCGTGCCGTCGTCACAACGTCGTCGTGTTGTCACCTTCCTGGCCGTCGAGACCCCTCATCTTATACTTGAAACCATACCCCACATGTCTTCATAGCTTAGATAAGGATTGAAGGTTTTAGGGTTCGGCGTTTAGGATTAGAGGGTTTAGGTGTGGGGTGGGTTTGCGGTTCACGGTTTAGGGTTCAACCATTAGACCCCAGGCAGCAACTGCAGCTACCCGGCGCACTCGCTGGCTGCCTACGTTGCTTCAGGCGCCCCAGGGGTTCGGAGTTTCAGGGTTTCCAGTAGGTATAAAGGGTCCCTATAAACTCTAAAGAGGGCAGACCGAGGGAGCTGGGAAGTATTGCATTCTTGTAGCTTTCTAGCACTCGCCAGACATGTGGCTGGAAGCGTGAACCATCATGCCAACTGTACAGTATAATTATAGCACATGTAGTTACGCACATATGCTGGTTGTCAGCATGTGCTGATTGCCTTTCTGTTCTTTTGATGGACTCGTGGTGATCATAGACTGCAGCGATTTCAACTGCTTGTCCCAAGCCAGAGACTATGAACCCTATGCCGCAACGGCCTACACCGCAGGTGGCTGTGCAGGAGCCCCCACTACAAGCTCTGCACCTGTGCATCCGAAGAGTGGCATGCAACTCTGACTCGCAGCCGAAGGCTGCAACGAGTGATGTTTGCAGGCCTTTCTGGGAAACCCTGTGGCTCCAAATAGCCCAAAGTAAGTAGAATTCATAGCCGGTAGACCCCAAAGTGGGCACTATTTGCGTATTTGGAGCCGTAGGGACATATCCAGAGACGCACTGCACATAATTCTAGTGTAAGTGTAAGGCTTGGAGCCATGTTGCTCAATGTAGCTGGGCCAGGCTCTGAGACTCCGAATCCTTGCTACGCAGAGCCGCTGGCTCAAGATGTACATTTTAATGCACGGCGGGTTCTGTTCACAACCTCGTGCCGAAACTCTAGCAGTAGATACTTGTCTGATGCAATGGCCTGGTGTTCACTGCTTCCTGTACTGTGAACGGCCAGCCTGCGACGCCTGCCAACAGCAGACCCTAAGGGTCCATGTACCGACATACTAGATAATCATAGGGATCCTTAGGGGTGTAGGGGGGAGGGGTGTAGGGGACTATATTTCCTTAAATAGGCCTTATTAGTCCTTATTATGGGCCTAACTTAAGGTCCCCTACCCCCCCTCCCCCTACACCCCTAAGGATCCCTATGAGATAATTTAGCTCCAGAGTAGCTATGTAGGGACTGGTTCAAGGCCCATGTATATACGATACTAGGTACATGGAGCTTTCCCTAAAACCTTAACAGATCCCTGAAAGGATCCTCTATGGTACCCTTACAGGAACCTAAACCTTCAACCCTAAACCCAAAACCCTAACCCTAAACCCTAAACCCTAAAGCCTAACCCTAACCCTAAACCCTAAACACCCTTGTTAGGCAGATGGACCTTTGGGGCTTGGTAGCTTCGAGCTTTTCGCATTCGTAGCTGAACCCAATGGGGCTGATCCTGAACCCCGAGCGTGCGTGAAGCTTCGATGTGGGATAATTCTTGAGGACCCCGTTAAAGGGATCTATATATATATATATATATATATAATTAAGTAACATAAGGGGTTTAGGGTTTAGGGTTTCGGTATCGATTTGGTATAACTGTTAATTTCCCGTAGTTTAGATTTATAGGGCCCCAATCACACTTACACATCTTCGGGGACTGTGGAAATCGACACCTAATTCAAATTTCATGGGTGCACGCAAAAAAACCTTCTCTATGCTTGCCCCACCACCATCGGGAGAAGTCCACTGAGCCCTAAACCACCGCACCCTGCGCTTCAAACTTCAGTAGCTGAGTAGGTAACCCTTAACCTCTTGAGGTTTAATATAACCCTGCCATAATTGAAGTGGTTAGCTTTTCGGGGCTAGGGTACTCAGCCCCTAAGAAACAGAGCCATAGTTTGGCACGGCCTCCAGTTCCCAAAATGATTCTTCCCTAGGTTCCTGAGTGGTGCCCCTTTTGCCCTTTCTGTTTATGGGGTTCCCTATTCAAACCGAAGGAAAAAGGGTACCCTTATTGTACAGGAGTTACTCAGGAACCTAGTTCTTTTTTTTGCCACAGTTTTTTTCCCAGTGCTGCAGCAGACTACGAAGGTGTGCTTGCACGAACTCTGCTGATGCCGACTGCTCTTCAAGCTCTTGCCCTAAGGATCCATGTGCCTCGTAGAGTAGCGACTCATGCCATGACATGTTTTATGAGTACTTTAGGGCCGATGTGTTTTAGAAGTACGTACATGGATCCGTAGGGCCGTTTGAGTTTTATGGAAGGAAATGTGGCAAGCCCACATAAAGCGGGGTTGCTGCACTGGATGGTCTAGTCATCGAGTGTGGAGGCCTGCAATGACCAAGGTTTAGGGTGATTCGGTTTAGGGTTTAGGGTTTAGGGTTTATAGGGTTTAGGGCTTATAGGGTTTAGGGTTTAGATTCCAATGATCGTCCCAATACCAGTGTACTCTCATATTTTTCGGAAACCCTATACTCTCATTCTGCAGGCCTCTAGGTTTGGCGGTGCCAGTCAATTTGTGGTGAAGGAGCCTGAACCCAGAGACTCCAAGACTCCTTAACTCATGGAATATACCTGGACCCTAAGGAACCTACCTTTTTAGGGTTCCCTAATATGATTTCTTTATATAAGTCCTTAAAAAGGTAGGTTACGTGGGGTTAAGGTATGCCCTAAATCCCTGCAGGGTTCCGATCATGATTTCAGGGAGGTTCCTTAAAGCAAGGGGTCCTGGAGTCTCTAGGAGCCCGCCGCGCAGAACCAAAGAGAGTCTAAAGATATCCGGCTGCCAACTGCTGGGGTGGGGGGAGGGAGGGGTCATGTCCCAGAAAGATTACCATAAGGGCTCTGCAAGCTTAAGTGTTTGGGGCCAGAGGGGTCCCAAAACCCCTTATTCAGAGGTTTAAAGGCTTGTTGTTACTACAGAGACTGTGGAAGTGTTGGTCCTACGTGGGGCTTCAACCATAGACTTATCCCCAAAACCTCCCAGTCATCCTAATAGCAGGATTCTGGGGCCTGGGTCACTGCAATGAGTGAAACCTGATTAGTCTACTTAGTGATGCAAGCATGTTTTGCGGCGGGCATGGTAAAGTGTGTGTCTGTGTGCATTGTGTAAGTATGCATGCATGGATGTATGTATGTATGTATGTATATCTATCTGTACATATATATATATATATGGATCATACTGGGATACCATTACCAATCATTCCAGCCGATACTTTTCTCATGTCTCACTCAGCCCTGAGACCTAGACGATAAACAACACTAGATTGGGGGTGAAAACGTCAATGGTTTAGGGTTTAGATGGGTTCAGGGTCGAGTTTAGAGGTTTCGGTCCAGGGCGGTTTCTAAGTTGCACCAAGAACCTTCGCATTCAACGCAAATCTGCCGACCATGCTGCATTCTCAGGGCTTGGTAAGGTACATGTATGTTTTGGGTGGGCCAAAACCCGGTAAGAATTTCACCGCACTTGCCGAGGCAGCTACCGAGCTCTGGTACTGCAGAAGTTTGCTGCCGTTCTCGCAGCTGCCGGGAGCGCCCTGGGTCCTGCGACTAGAGCTGCAGAACGACAAGTTTACAGACAAGACGCGGACAGGGCTCGAAACCTTGCTGCTGCTGCTGTTGTTGTTGTTGCTGCTGTACTTCCTGTGTTGCTGCTGTTGCTAATGCTATTGCTGTTGTCTCCGTCGTTGTTGCTGCTGTTATCGCTATCCTTCGGCTTAAGCTTGTAGTTGTGGCAGCTGTGTCACCGCAACTTTATTATTGTTGGTTAGTTTTAATTCTAACTCTAGCTAATTCGGTTTCGTCTTCTGATGCTTATTCGTCTTGCTAGTGGTGGTTCTTGCTGTCCTTGTCGTGGTCGTTGCAGTTGTTGTTGTGGTTATGGTGATGGTGCTGTTTGAGGCTGTGGCTGTGGCTGCGGTTGTTGTTGCTTCTGCTTGAGTTGGCGCATGGAACTTCCAGAGAATGTGCTCTCTAATATAGCGGCCTAAACCCCCAAATCCCATTCTAAGTATTGAGGCCTCAAACATAACCGAGCTTCACTCTTAGTCAACAGTTTTCAGTTAGCATGCTTTTGAAGAAAGCGACTATGACGAAGCAAAACCAGGAACTGGATCAGACTCAGGGATTTTTAGCCCGGAGCCTTAAACCTTAAACCTTGGGTACGGCCCCCACTCAGTCATAGTTGAATAATATTCATAATCTAGATATACTAGGACCTTAATAGTAGCCCTATTATAGACTCTTAACTAACCTAAACCCCTAGTCCCTAAAACCCTGTAAACCCTGAACCCTAAACTGCAAACCCCCCTACATTTCCCTTAATTTAAGGCTATAGTACCCTTAAAGGACACCCAGAAGATCCCTTAAAGGAACCCCTATAGTACCCTCCCCTAAACTTTAAACTGCTACCTGAGGATGGTGCGCTGGTGGCCCGAGCCCCGGTTCTCATTCTTTCGCTTACCTAGGGGCTCATACCCTACCCCTTTTTTAGGGCGCCTACGTTTTAAGATAACAGGTCCTAACCATAAAACTAGGTATACAACAAAAAGGTGTAGGGTAGGAGCCTCTATATATCCGAGATCCGAGCAGCTAAGCGGTTGTAGGGCTTTGGGTTTTCCAGTTTAGGGTTTAGGGGAGGGTACTATAGGGCTTCCTTTAAGAGATCTACAGGGTGTCCTTTAAGGGTACTATAAGGTCTCCTTTAAGGGATCTGTAGGTTTTAGGGGTTTCGGGGTTTAGGGGTTTAGGGTTGAGGGGTTTAGCTGACAAAAAGGCACTGATAATTAAAACAGGGTGTTGGGGGGGGAGTTACAATGGCATATATGGCATATATGGATTAATGCAGAGGGCATGTTGCTAAACCGACCCTTACATTCATCCTAAGGGTCCATTTCCATGTGCTCTAATCTGGCACTAAAGTACCTTTACCGGAGCCCGCTTACGGTCCAAGCACATTCAATCTAAAGACCCTAAACCCTAACCCGTAAACCCTGCACCTGAAATGTGCTTGCTGGGCATGTCATGCGCCTGACCAACGAGTCTTCTCTTCGAGGCTTTGGCGGAGGAGGGAAAAAGGTGTTCAACAGCAAAATCCCCATAAACCCTAAACCCGAAACCTTAAAACCGCCACAATCCGAAACCTAAAAACCCTAAACCCTAGACCCGAAACCTTAAACCACTATAATCCGAAACCTACAAACCGTAAACCCTAGACCCGAAACCTTAAACCCCTAAACCCGAAACCCCAAAACCCCTAGGGTTTACCCTAAACCCTAAACCGAACCTTAACCCCCTAACCAGAAAGCCTTAAACTTAAATCTGAATCTCCGACTCCGAGATTCCGGATGTTGGCTGTGGAGCCTACGGCAATGATCCCGGTGAGGCCGCGCTTTTGGGTCTACTTGGAGGTTCATGGGTAGTTACAAGTAGGGCTATAAGTAGGGCAACTATATATACTTAAAACCCATATTAAGGGGACTTATGACCCACTTATAACTACCCATGAACCTCCAAGTAGGGTTCAGGGTCTAGGGTAGGGTTTAGGGTTTTAGGGTTTTTGGGTCTTCGGGTTTGGGTTTTAGGGTCGAGGGCGTTGGGCTTTCCTTAGGGCTCCTTTTCAGAATTCTACTTTGGAATCATTGAGGCTTATAGGCTTAGAAGCATAAGGAATCGAAATTCAGATCCGCTTTGCCCCTACGATGTCCCTTGTATATGCATCCCGAAAGCCAGTTCTAATTGCTAAGGCCCTTACATCGTCAAGCCCAGGCCCACAGCTTCAACCACGAGGGGTTTAGGGTGTAGGGTTTAAGCCCCATACCCTAAACTAGGTATCGGTTTGAGATAATTATCCGTTTCCCGTATTTAAAGCCCCAAGTATTTGTTAATTTCGTCGCTGTTGAAATCGACACCTAGTAAATCCACTCATCCCATCGGCAGAATGCAGACCTGGAGCTCGAAACTCTAGAGAAGTTGCCATCAAGCAAAGTCATTAATGGAGTCGGAATCACTAAAGGAGTAATATACCTGAGATTCTCCTTATTCATAGGAACCCCCAAATCCCTATTCTGCCAATATGAGCTCGAATGCCCAAGTACAAGGCTTCACAGAAGCGCCTTGACCACTCCTTCCCCCCGTCCCTAAGCACTGAATCTGGACCCCTATGAAACCCTAAACACTACACCCCCAAGACAATGGAGGGGTTTAAGAAAGGGGTCGGGCTCGCAACAGCTGTCATATGATTATGCCACAATATACCCCCAAAGGGTTATTCTCATTATTGAAGCCACCATATTTGGCACGTTTTGAATATGGTTGATCCTCAGCATTGTTCCCAAGCCCAGCACGTTGTAGGCCCATACTTTTCAAACACTAACTCCCAAGCCTGAAAATTCTGAGCGGGAGCCCAGAATCATCTCAAATGGTTTACAGTTTGAAGCTTGTAAATACAACTACAAATGCAAATATCACTGCTTTCTTTCGTTTGTTTACACTTATGCTTGGATGAACCCCCTACATACACCTGAGTGGGGAACCCTTGACAGACGGGGTTTCGCCTAAAGAGCTCTCAAACGCGGCTTCAGAACCCAGGCTTTGGGTTTTAGGGTTTTAGGGGTTTAGTGGTGTAGGGCTTTAGGGGTTCCGGGTTTTAGGGTTTAGGGTTTTAGGGTTTAGGGTTTAGGGTCCCAGGACCCTTAACCACCCGAAACAGTAAAGTGCGGACCATGAAAGGGACCAGGAACAACTCTGAAACCCTGAAGCCGCAACTCCTACAGCGGTAAACCCATGAAACAAAGCTGCACACACGCAGACACGCACACACAGAGATCGTCAAAGGCAACCCCCCGAACGCACAAACACACAAACAACAACACAGTCAAGCAATTTTAAGTTTTACTGGGGTTTGAAACACTAAACCCTAAACCGAAACCCCCTAAACCCTGCCCTAATGCTCCTGGACCCTTGTAGTGAGATCCCAAACCCTAGCCCCCAAAGCCGAAACCCTTCCCCAGAAAGCCCAAGCCTTAGGGTAAACCCTAAACAATGGCCCCAAAACCCTCAACCCCCTAAACCCTAAACCTCCCAAACCGCCTAAACCCTAAGCCCTAAACCCTAAACAAAGCCATGAAGCACGCAACGACCTCGCAGAACAGAGGTCGGCAGACTCCTTGGCGAAGCCCTGAAGCGGCAGCCTGGGCTCCTCAGCGATGTAGGGGTCTGCGATGCCTGTGCGATGCCTTTTATGGGAGTTTCCGAAAATTAAATTAAGTGTACCTTATTTTGGGGTCCTGATAATAAGGATCCTACTGTTTGGGGTCCTATATTTGGGTCCCTCATTTTCGGGAACTTCCATATTTCAGGAGTTTGCTGCTCAGGGTCTTTGGGACCTCGATGTGCTGCACAGGGCTCTGAATTCTTAGGAGCCCTCGGCGGGTATCAAACAGCAGCCCCTCGTGGAAACCCGATAATGATAGATGTGCGCGCAACCCTACACCCTCCATCCCAAACCCCGAGCAAGTCTATACACATGTTTTTTTGGGGGGCTCTCAAGAAGAAGAGCGAAAAGGATGGCCCCGTTTAATAAATGAAGATGTTGCCTTTGATACATTGAGGATGTCAATATTCGCAATACTAGTGACCATAGTAATCATGGTCATCATAGTCATCATAAGAGTTGGCATGGTCAGGATAGTCAGCCATATCCTCCGAAATTCAGCTCATATCGCCGAGTACTTGCTCAGGCTCTTCTCCGAGATCCACCTTGTTGGCCAGAGCAGCTTCGCAGATGCCGTAGTTAATGTGAGCAACGGATTGTGTTAGGCCTGTTACGTCACACTCGTGTTTTCAGAGAGCCACCGTCACAGAGCTTTCCATGGGCTCACTTATGCAAGAACCCTTCTTATCCCTGGCGGTTTGACTTGTTTGTAGCATGGCTGCGTTCGGCGAAGCCGTATTGCGAGTCTGTGATCTTTTTGGAAAAAGATCAGAAAAAGCGGCAGGAGCAGGAATCTATGACTCGTTGCTGGGACAAAGCTGCCCTGCTACCAGAGGCCTGCGACGCAGAAAAGCTGCGCTTGAAGGTTCTTGTAACGAGTTCTCTGGACCCCTGATTGACAGCCCTACTCCTTTGTCCGGGATTCAAGTGGGGTCGCTCGGGTATAAGCGAGTTCTACAGCAACTCACCTCAACCCAAAGTCGAAGTCAGGGCAGTTCTCGGACGTGTGGGCGAACCTTGGTCCATGGTCAGGTGAGATCACGAACCCTAAGGGTCCATGTACTCATATAGTATATACACTGGCCTTAATGTAGTCCCTAAATAGGTACTTTTGGGGCTCATGTATCTCTATATGGGTACATGGACCCTTAGGGGAAGGGCAATGCTACACAGTATGGATGACTTGGAGAAGCATCCTGACCAACTAGCGTCGTCATCAGACCATCAAGCGTCGCTGTCCTCATCACAAGGTCATCACAAGGTCACAAACCGCTGTCCAAGCCTTCCTTCCCATGCTTTGAGGTTCATGGGTACTCATAGTTGCGTTCCAAGTAGGCTAACTATGCTTATAACCCATATTAGGGGGCTTATAACCCTACATATAACTACCTATGAACCTCCAAGTGACCGTCGGCACCATCCGTCTAAACACGCTCCGTATCTTCCCGTCATCATGCCACCATCCTCGTCGTCGTCAGCTTCATCATCGCCATCGTCATCATCTTTAACATAAGTAGTGTCGTCACCATCATTCTCTTTATCATCATCATCATCATCATCATCACCAGCATCGTCATCATCACCTTCATCATGTTGACATTCATCGCAACCACTATCAGCGGAAACATCATCACAGTCATCAACACCAACAGCGACGACATCAGCAGCAGCAGAAGCAGCAGAAGCCCGGCAGCATCGGCGTCGCCACAATCCTCAGGTAGTATTATAGTAGTATTATAGTATTGTTATAGTATGATTATAGTATTATTACACTATTCTTATTTTACAAAGCTGCGTCACTGGACCCAAAGCGTTACGCCACACAAGCAAGATCACTCAAAGTCAGCTTCAAATTTCGTTGTTGCGTGTCCCTAAGCGCTAGACCCCACTGGAGCTGGGCTTTGAAGTGGGGACAGGTCTGACATTCACGGCCTCCTCTGGCCCGGATCCTAAGCTGTCATGCCCCACCAAAGGAATCCACGACCGTTTTGGGCCATATAATTAGTGGGATTATAAAGAAATGCAGTCATACACAAAGAGGGTTGTGAGTCCGGTGCAAACCATACCGCAAGTTTCAGGATTTTGGTCGAGGGTTGGAGCTACTAGATTTCGTTTACCTGTTGTACAGGCTGTGTGGAGTTTGGGAAGTCCTTCTGCACATTGGTGAAACGCAAATGGGGATTGATGATATGTCATGTATGTCATGTTCACAAAAACCCTATACATAATATGAGTTCGGGTCCAAGTGGGGAGCGCAAGATTTCATCGAGTTCGGCTTGGGCGTTAGGTATAGGGGTTGGGTTCAGGGTGTAAGTGTATAGGTTTTTGCTGGTTTTCGAGTTTTTGTTTGGGGTTCGGGTTCAGGGTCCAGCATTTTTGGCCCAGTATAACCTGATGGATTTCTCAAGCCAGAATGGTACAGAAGCGCAACGAGATCTAAACATCAGGCCATAGGCGCCTCCAACATAGATGGGATCGGAAAAGAAGACGAGTTCAACATAACGCGGCTCTGATACTCTTGGCCCGGCTCTTAACTGTATAAGTTCAAAATGACCGGCCAATGCAGCTATATACTGGAGTGTGTACCTTACTTGTGCATACTTTTGCTTTGGGATTGTTTGGTGGCCCTTGACAGCTCGAGAACCTTCACCAGGCAGCAACGAGAGCCATACAAAAACCTAAAACCTAAAACGTAAACACGACCGAACAATCCGCCATCTCACAAGGGTCATTCAGACTCGTTTCGCTGTGCTGGAAGCATGGTGTCTAAACCCCCAACCCTAACCCCCTAAACCCTAAACTCTTCACCCCAAACTCAATACGTGCCTGAGCCCTAAAACTTAAAAGGCAGAAGCCCCAAATCCCTCGTTCTGACTGAGGTCCGAGACTGTTGCAATCTGAATGTCCTCATCATGTCATAAGGTGTAGGGTTTAGGCATTCAGGGTTTAGGTGCTCACTTCGTCATCCCTGCACCTCCTCGAACCTGAATAATGGGTTATTGGGGCACATACTATGTGGTTAGTAACCTTCGTAGTATTCAAGTAACTGGACTGGAGCCCTAGGGCATGCCAAAAGAGATGAAGAAGGTTTAGAGAGCCATGGTTGATCAGACCGTGAAAAGAGCACGCATAGGTGGCCCAGATGTTATACGCCACATCCACACGGACCAGATGACTCTGTTGAGCCAAGATTGGGTGCAAGGTTCTGCCTGATCCGACAGCGGTCGCGCGGAAATGGCTGAAAGGGAGCTAAATTGATAGGTGCAGAAAGCTGAAGAACAAGCGGGCACTTGGAAGATGACAGAAATCTACAGAATTGATGCTCACGCTTACATGAGCTCGTTTACTCAACACCGTTATAGTCAGCCTGAAAGGAACCCTCCAAGGAACTCCCATATAGTAAGCTGCTTATAGAAGCCCCAAAACCCTACACCCTAAAGTCCCAAAGCTCCACCTCTATGAATATACCTTACCCTAAAATTCCATGTGCCCATATGATAGGGATACACGAGCCCCAAAGTACCTATATAGGGATTACATTAAGGCCAATGTATATACTATATATGAGTACATGGACGCTTAGGGTTATCTAAAACCTTCAAAAAGATTGCGGACCTCCTCACAGCGCTTGACTGAAGCTCTAGGGTTTAATTATAGTAGGATCCCTAATATGAACTAAGGAACATTCCCTAATTTAAGGGATATTAGAGTCTCTGGGCTAAGGCTCTACGGATTGGTCTTCTTTTCGCAGTTTAAGCCCACCGAACCGTTCCTCGTGGATTTCCTCGTTGAGGACAAAGGCTTTAGCAACCACGAGGTCGGAGTTTTGGGATTTAGGGGTTCAGGTTTAACGGCTCAGTTTGAGTTTAGGGCTTGAGGTTTGGGGTTCAGCTTGGATATGGGATTCTAGGGTTTAGGGTCACGCCAGCGTTCTAGAGTCGTTTTTCAATTCGTTGGAAGGGGTTCTTTGGGTCTTGCCGGTTTCTGTCGGTTGTGTATGCTCGACAAGGGCTGCCGGGTTGGTTGGGGGTTCTGAAGGTTTTGCTTGGGGTTTATCTATGATGAGTTTGAGTTTAGACTAAAGCTTAAGGTTAGCAGGTTACTTAGTCTTTAGGGCTTTAGTGAATTGAGGGTTTTCGGGTAAAGCCTTTGAAGGCAGTGGTCATCAGCAACTAGCATGCACTTCCGCAGTTTGGGTATCTGTCCTGCCACGCTAGCTGCACACTACTACTACTACTACTACTACTACTACTACTACTACTACTACTACTACTACTACTACTACTACTACTACTACTACTACTACTACTACTTCTACTACTACTACTACTGCTGCTACTACTGCTACTACTGCTACTAGTCCTGCTGCTGCTACTACTAGTAGTATGTTCTTTATGCTGGAGCCGTGTGCGCCAGGTCTACCAGGAAATTTTCCCATTGTTTGTGTACTCGCGCGAAAGCCTCAGAGTGTGTCCGAGACCCCGAATCCAGCATCCATTAGCCTTAACCCTAAGGCGTAAACCTTGGGTACTGTCCCCACTCAGTAGCAGTCGAAGACTAAAATATGGACATCGTAGCCCTCAATAGTAGCCCTATGACGGACTGTTACTGTATGGGAGGCAGTACGCAACCTAGACCTTAGCTTGTGGCTGAAGCTGTGCTTCGCATGCAGAGAATCGCGAGTTGAGGTTGCTGGAGTCTTGCGCTACTCAGCGGTTTGTTTTTACCTGTACTCATATACTCTCCTGCGCATTCAATGTAGTATATTGTAGTCTTGACAGTAGTTCAAGTTCATTGTAGTATATTGCCGTCTATCATGTTAGACCGACCCGGAACAGGTGTATATAAGTGTAAATTGTATGCAACGTTCTCTGTGTACATGTATTCACGAATAAGCACATATAAGTACATATATATATATATATTATGTATATACACATGCACACACACAAACATGTAGAAGTATAATGTGTGCATATACATATATACACACATATTCACCGTTGTACACGAACATACAAAAAGCCTAATAGATAGATAGATAGATAGATAGATAGATAGACAGACCGTTAGATAGACAGATAGATATATAGATAGCTAGTTTGAAGTTCCATAACAGACAGCTAGTTGTTCTGATGGCTAGATTGATAGATTGGTGGGTAGGTGGGTAGATAGGTAGATGGTAGGTTAGATACACAATGCATATATATATATATATATACACACACACCTAATGTACACCTATATTTGTGTGTACATATATATATATATATAGATACATACATCTATATATATATATATATATATATACATATATATATATATATATTCATACATGTTCCAAGAGAGACCCTGAGGTTTCCCGCTGCTCATTGTCACTGGCCTCGCTTCCGAGCTGCCCTCCGTTGGAGGATCGGATGGGAGTGACAGTGATGGGTGTGGGGCCTAAGTAGTTGCTCAGATTCGCGGTTTATGGGTAGATCGTTTGGTGTTTTGGAGTCAGAGGCAGTGCCAGATCAACCAGACATGAAAGGTTTAAAATGCTTAGCTGCAATTTGGATAGGCGAGATACAGTATACCTATACCGTTTGAGCGCATTTCGGCT